TCCCTCAAAAACTGGCGGACAGGTTTTGCTTTGTTTCACCTGACTCAGACTGTTTGTAGGGCTCCAGTGGCTTCCAGGAGGCTGTTACTGAAAGTATTTAAAGGCACAGGTATTGGCTGCAGCAGCCTGGGGTGAGGGATAACACTTGGGACAAATGATAGACAGGCCTAGAAGCCTGGGAAAGAAGAGATTGGGACAGGAGATATGTATGGAAAGGATTTTAAAAAGCTCCTGTGTATACCAGGGAATCCATAAAGCCACATGCATTCCCAGGGGAGAATACATGCTTGAAAAGGCCTGAGAATCTAAGCTTTCACCTCAGGCAGGCTTTTAGGCTCCACATATGTAGGAAGGGAAAGCTGAGGCAGAGTTAGGGCCAATTTGCGGACATTGGGATAGTACTCTTTCTTTTCTTGTTTTTATTTTCTTAAATTTTTATTTCAATAGTTTTGGGGTAATGGGTAGTTTTTGGTTACATGGAGAAGTTCTTTAGCGGTGATTTCTGAGATTTTGATTAACCATCACCTAAGCAGTGTACACTGTGTACAATGTGTGTAGTCTTTTATCCCTCACCCCTCTTCCACCATTCCCCAAGTCCCCAAAGTCCATTATATCATCCTTTTTGTGGGGGGGCAGAGTCTCACTCTGTTGCCCAGGCTAGAGTACAGTGGCGTGATCTCAGCTCACTGCAGCCTCCACCTCCCAGGTTCAAGTGATTCTCCTGCCTCAGCCTTCCAAGTAGCTAGGATTACAGGCAGGTGCCACCACGTCCAGCTAATTTTTTGTATTTTTAATAGAGATGGGGTTTCACTGTGTTAGCCAATGGTCTCGATCTCCTGATCTCATGATCCACCCACCTTGGCCTCCCAAAGTGCTGGGATTACAGGCGTGAGCCACCATGCCCAGCCCGTTATATCATTCTTATGCTTTTGCATCCTCATAGTTTAGGGAGAACATACAATATTTGGTTTTCTGTTCCTGAGTTACTTCACTTAAAATAATGGTCTCCAACTCCATTCATGTTGCTGCAAATGCCATTACTTCATTTCTTTTTATAGCTGAGTAGTATTCCATGGTGTATATATATCTTTATCAACTTGCTGATTGATAGGCATTTAGGTTGGTTTCATATTTTTGCAACTGCAAATTGTGCTGCTATAAACATGTGTATGCAAGTGTCTTTTCCATATAATGACTTATTTTCCTCTGGGTAGATACCCAGTAAGGATTTGCTGGATCTAATGGTAGTTCTGCTTTTAGTTCTTTAAGGAATCTCTATACTGTTTCCCTTAGTGGTTGTACTAGTTTACATTCCCACCAGCATTGCCAAAGGGTTCCCTTTTCACCACATCCACGCCAATATCTGTATTATTTTTTTAATTTTTAAATTACAGCCATTCTTGCAGGAGTAAGGTGGTATCACGTTGTTGTTTTAATTTGCATTTCTCTAATAGAGATGTTGAGCATTTTTCATGTTTGTTGGCCATTTCCATATCTTCTTTTGAGAATTGTCTATTCACGTCCTTTGCCCATTTTTTGATGGGGCTATTCATTTTTTTCTTGCTGATTTGAGTTCCTTGTAGATTCTAGATATTAATTCTTAGCTGATCGCAGTTTGTGAATATTTTCTCCTACTCTATGGGTTATCTGTTTACTCTGCTGATTATTTCTTTTGCTGTGCAGAAACTTTTTAGTTTAATTAGGTCCTATTTATTTATCTTTGTTTTTGTTACATTTGCTATTGGGTCCTTGGTCAAGAATTCTTTGCCTAAGCCAATGTCTAGAAGAGTTTTTCCGATGTTATCTTCTAGAATTTTTATGGTTTTAGGTCTTAGATTTAAGTCTTTGATCCACCTTGAGTTGATTTGTGTATAAGGTGAGAGATGAGGATCCAGTTTCATTCTTCTACATGTGGCTTGGCAATTATCCCAGAACCATTTGATGAATAGGATTATTTTTCATTCTTTCTTGTTTTTTTCATTTCTTAGCTCTAGGCATTTAAGGGAACTCCTCTTTCAAAACACCAGGCGAACACTAGACTAATAGAACAAAGACCTCAGTGGTCACAAACAACAAAAAATACTAAAGTAGTTTGGGAAAGTCACTAAATAAGCATATAATGACAGCCCACAATAGCCAACAGAGACAAATTTTGGGGAGAAATAAGAATTTGGTTTCCAGAGCAGAACAGAGGCCTCGGAGGCAGCACAACATATCTACAACCATCTGATCTTTGACAAACCTGACAAAAACAAGCAATGGGGAAAGGATTACCTGTTTAATAAATGGTGTTGGGAAAACTGGCTAGCCATGTGCAGAAAGCAGAAACTGGATTCCTTCCTGACACCTTACCCTAAAATTAACTCCAGATGGATTAAAGACTTAAACATAAGACCTAACACCATAAAAACCCTAGAAGAAAATCTAGGCAAAACCATTCAGGACATAGGCATAGGCAAGGACCTCATGACCAAAACACCAAAAGCATTGGCAACAAAAGCCAAATAGACAAATGGGACCTAATCAAACTCCACAGCTTCTGCACGGAAAAAGAAACAGTCATTAGAATGAATTGGCAACCAACAGAATGGGAAAAAAATTTTGCAATCTACCCATCTGACAAAGGGCTGATATCCAGAATTTACAAAGAACTAAAACAGATTTACAAGAAAAAAACAAACAACCCCATTCAAAAGTGGGCAAAGGATATGAACAGACACTTTACAAAAGAAGACATACATGAGGCCAACAAACATATGAAAAAATGCTCATCATCACTGGTCATTAGAGAAATGCAAATCAAAACTACATTGAGATACCGTCTCATGCCAGTTAGAATGGCGATCATTAAAAAATCTAGAGACAACAGATGCTAGAGACGATGTGGAGAAATAGGAACACTTTTACACTGTTGGTGCAAATGTAAATTAGTTCAACCATTGTGGAAGACAGTGTGGCGATTCCCCAAGGACCTAGAAATAGAAATCCCATTTGACCCAGCAATCCCATTACTGGGTATATATCCAAAGGATTATAAATTGTTCTAGTATAAGGATACATGCACACAAATGTTCATTGCAGCACTGTTTACAATAGCAAAGACATGGAACCAACCCAAATGCCCATCGATGATAGACCGGACAGGGAAAATGTGGCACATATACACCATGGAATATTACGCAGCCTTCAAAAATGATGAGTTCGTGTCCTTTGTAGGGACATGGATGAACCTGGAAACCATCATTCTCAGCAAACTGACACAAGAGCAGAAAATCAAATACCTCATGTTCTCACTCATAGGCGAGTGTTGAACAATGAGAACACATGGACACAGTGAGGGGAGCACTGCACACTGGGGTCTGTTGGGCAGAAATGGGGGAGGGACAGTGGGGGGTGGGGAGGTGGGGAGAGATAGCATGGGGAAAAATGCCAGATATAGGTGATGGGGAGGAAGGCAGCAAATCACACTGCCATGTGTGTACCTATGCAACTATCTTGCATGTTCTTCAAATGTACCCCCAAACCTAAAATGCAATAAAAAAAAAAAAAGAATTTGGTTTCCAGAGTTGTCACTTTATAATACCCAAAATGTCAAGTTTTCAACAAAAAATGATGAAGCATGCAAAGAAACAAAAGAGAAATTAATAGAAAATGTCCATGAAGAAGCATAGGCATTGGACTCACTAGACAAAGACTTTTTTTCTTACTTTAACCATAATAACCTATTTCATTTATATTTTTTAAAACCCTGAAGGTAAAATCTAAAAGAATAACATTTCTTCCTTCTGTTGCATGTATATACAAAATTTTATAGAATTACGTGAACTTTGACATATTTTAAGCTTATAAAACAAATAAAATAGAAATTAACCCAAATCTAACCTATTACACAGTTCAACTTCTATAATACTAAAAATGCTGGAAATCTACACACGCAATGCCGAAATTAGTATGTTCTACTGGATCTTGAAGACAGAGAGCCTCACTCACCAATGCCTCACAAAATGCAAGGTAGCTTTTCCTCTTGGTCATGCATAATGTCATGGTAGAAACTTTAGCACAGTCCCATTTTTATGGCCTCAGTCTCCCTAAGCAAATGCGACTTTGTAATGATATTTTCTTTCTTTAGTCATCATCTTATACCCTAGTGTAGTTGAAGTTTATGGGATATACATGTATGTGACTGATGCAATTTGGTTATAATATAGTATTTTACATGTAAGTGGCAGTACTATGTTTGAAATGTAAGTGTGGGAATGGATATAGCCATATGATTTTGTGTTTTGTATTTTTAAATAGACAAACACTTTAGACCTACATTCTTAATATGCTCAAAGAGATCAAGGAAACCATAGACAAAGAACTGAAGGAAATCAGGAGAATGATTTCTCAACAAATGGAGACCATTGATAAAGAGAGAGAGAAATTATAAAAAGAAACCAAATATAAATTTTTAATCTAAAAAAATACAAATTGGCCAGGCATGGTGGCTCACATATATAATTCCAGCACTTTGCGAGGCTGAGGCAGGCAGATTGCTTGAGCCCAGAAGTTCGAGACCAGCCTGGGCAACATGGCAAAACCCTTTCTCTACAAAAATTACAAAAAATTACCCAGGCATGGTGGCACATACCTGTAGTCCCAGCTACCCAGGAGGCTGAGGTTGGAGAATCACCTGAACCTGGTAGGTTGAAGCTGCAGTGAGCCATGATCATGCCACTGCACTCCAGCCTGGGTAACAAAGTGAGACCCTATCTCAAAAAACAAACAAAAACAGGCTGAGCACAGTGGCTCATGCCTGTAATCCCAGCATTTTGGGAGGCAGAGGTAGGTGGATTTCTTGAGGCCAGGAGTTCGAGACAAGCCTGGCCAACATCAGGAAACTCCATCTCTCCTAAAAATACAAAAATTTGCTGGGTGTGGTGGCACACGCCTGTGATCCCAGCTACTTGGAAGGCTGAGACATGAAAATCACTTGGGGTGGAGGTTGCAGTGAGATGTGATTGCACCAATACACTGTAGCCTGGGTGTCAGAGTGAGACTGTCTCAAAATAATAATAATAATAATAATAATAATAATAATACAATCACTATAATGAAAGATTCACTGGAAAGGTTCAATATCAGATTTGAACAGGCTGAAAAATCAATTAACTTGTTAGGTCAATTGAGATTATCTAGTCTGGAGAGTATTAAAAAAAGGGTGAAGAAAGAAAAAACCTGTAATCCTAGCTACTTGGGAGGCTGAGACATGAGAATTGTTTGATCCTCGCAGGTGGAGGTTGCAGTGAGCTGAGATTGTGCCACTGCACTTTGGTCTAGGCCACAGAGTGAGACCCTGTCTCAAGAAAAAAAAAGAAGAAGAAAGAAAAAATGACTTCCAGTTTCCAGTCCAGTCTGTAAAGAGCTTAGGGACATGTCAGATACCATTAACCGTACTAATCTATATACCCCAAGAAGAGAGTCCCAGGAAGAGAAGAGAGCAAGAAAGGGGTAGAAAAAATATCTGAAGAAATAATGACCATGAACTTCCCAAATTTGAGGAAAGACATGAGTCTACACATCCAAGAACCTCAAGAAGTCCAAGAAGGATAAACTCAAAAAAATCCACACAGACACACATTGTAATAAAATTGTCAAAAGCCAAAGGCCAAGAGGGAATCTTGAAAACTCACAAACAAAACAAAGTGAGTCAACACATAAAAGGGATTTTCCATAAGCCAGTTTTTCGTCAGAGATCACAGAGGCCAGAAGGCAATTACATAACATATTTAAAGTGATGAGAGGCCCGCCCAGCCGGCGGGAGCGCAGCGGCCCAGCTCCGGCAAGGCCGCGCCAAGCCAGGCGAGCCCATTTTTATTCAGGCGACGCTTAAGGGAGCCCGGCTGCGCCCGGTGCATTGTGGGAGCGGCCTGCGGCCCGTTTTCGGAAGGAGGCGGAGGGCGCAAAGCGAGTCGGTGGATCCGTAAAAAACCCAGCCAACCCGCAGAGGGAGGACAGGGGCTGAGCTGTGAGGAGAGCGGGCCCCAGAACCATGTCTACGCGGGAGTCCTTTAACCCGGAAAGTTACGAATTGGACAAAAGCTTCCGGCTAACCAGATTCACTGAACTGAAAGGCATAGGCTGCAAAGTGCCCCCAAGATGTCCTACAGAAATTGCTGGAATCTTTACAGGAGAACCACTTCCAAGAAGATGAGCAGTTTCTGGGAGCTGTTATGCCAAGGCTTGGCATTGGAATGGATACTTGTGTCATTCCTTTGAGGCATGGTGGGCTTTCCTTGGTTCAAACCACAGATTACATTTACCCGATCGTAGACGACCCTTACATGATGGGCAGGATAGCATGTGCCAATGTCCTCAGTGACCTCTATGCAATGGGGGTCACGGAATGTGACAATATGCTGATGCTCCTTGGAGTCAGTAATAAAATGACCGACAGGGAAAGGGATAAAGTGATGCCTCTGATTATCCAAGGTTTTAAAGACGCAGCTGAGGAAGCAGGAACATCTGTAACGAGCGGCCAAACAGTACTAAACCCCTGGATTGTCCTGGGAGGAGTTGCTACCACTGTCTGCCAGCCCAATGAATTTATCATGCCAGACAATGCAGTGCCAGGGGATGTGCTAGTGTTGACGAAACCCTTGGGGACACAGGTGGCAGTGGCTGTGCACCAGTGGCTGGATATTCCTGAGAAATGGAATAAGATTAAGCTAGTTGTCACCCAAGAAGATGTAGAGCTGGCCTACCAGGAGGCGATGATGAACATGGCGAGGCTCAACAGGACAGCTGCAGGACTCATGCACACATTCAACGCCCATGCGGCCACTGACATCACAGGCTTCGGGATTTTGGGCCACGCACAGAACCTGGCCAAGCAGCAGAGAAACGAGGTGTCGTTCGTCATTCACAACCTCCCGGTGCTGGCCAAGATGGCTGCGGTGAGCAAGGCCTGCGGAAACATGTTCGGCCTCATGCACGGGACCTGCCCGGAGACCTCAGGTGGCCTTCTGATCTGTTTACCATGTGAGCAAGCAGCTCGGTTCTGTGCAGAGATCAAGTCCCCCAAACATGGTGAAGGCCACCAAGCATGGATTATTGGGATTGTAGAGAAGGGCAACCGCACAGCCAGAATCATAGACAAATCCCGGATCATCGAGGTCGCACCGCAAGTGGCCACTCAAAATGTGAATCCCACACCGGGGGCCACTTCTTAATCTAGACAGAAATAGCTGTTTGGTTTTGTTTTTAAATACCTCTATTTCCTTTATCATCACTTCAATTAAAGACTATAAACAACAAAAATCTCATTGTGTCTACACATCGGGTGACCTTAGGTTGGTTTGTAAGTGGATACAATTAATAAAATAAAATCCATTGCCTTTTCTTCCTGTTACATTAACTGAAGATGCACCTAATCTTGAGGCAGCTTCTGAGTTGAGAATTATATTGTTATCCAATACTGTTGATTCATTTTGAATCTTTAGACACTTATCTCTTGCCACATAGGCTCTTTTTAAAGGTGCTTTCACATAGCACAGACATTACCAATAGTCGTGTCAGATAGCAGTTGGTGTCTTTTCATTTTGTGTATATTTATCATATAAGTCCGATTTTTTTTTAAGTGTCTTGAATGGTTTTCTGGAGAGACGGCATTGGTAAGTGGCACATGACGGTATACCAGTCGTAAGAGGGTTGCATGATTCCTTTGAGTCTTTGGTTTGGAAAGCCTAGTCTTGTCTCTCAAGAGCATCTTGGACCCAGGATATTCTCCAGTAGTGCATTCAGTTCAACACAGCAAGTGCTTCACTGCATGGAAAACACTTTGAAGACAAAAAAGAAATCTTGTTTCTTTTTTTGTAGCCTTCCTGATATTTACAGTAATACCATTAACTGTTTTCTTTATCAATAGCAAAAAAGGATACTTTTTGCAATGTAATTAGATGTTCTATAGTGCTACGAGGAATTGCCTTCCAAAAGGAGGTTCGTGTATGATACTCATTTACAATTCAATATATAATTAACTACGCAAATAATTTTTAAATATGATCAATAATAAAGACTCTTCTGTGGGAAAAAAAAAAAGTGACGAAAAAAAAAAAAAAAAAAAAACATCAAACAGGAATTCTATCTCCAGCAAAATTATACTTTAAAAATGAACAAAAGGCCGGGTGTGGTAGCTCACTCTTGTAATCCCAGCACTTTGGAAGGCCAAAGCAGGCAGATCACTTGAGGCCAGGAGTTTGAGATCAGCTTGGCCAACATGGAGAAACCCCTTCTCTAGTAAAAATACAAAAAAATTAGCCAGGCATGGTGGCACACACCTGTAATCCCAGCTACTCGGGAGGCTGAGGCAAGAAAAAAAAAGAAGAAGAAAAAAATGACTTCCAGTTTCCAGTCCAGCCTGTAAAGAGCTTAGACATTGTCACTCTGTCTTAATAAGTATTAAAAAGTAGAACAAACTAAAAACCAACAACTCTTCTTAGGTTCCTCAGAGAATTGAGGTTATGGGTCAAAATGCTGCCCCCAAATTGGAAAGAGTGGCAGATGCAGAAGATTACAATTTTCTGGAGCAGAAACCCTCACACTGAAACCTTCATGTGAACCAGCACCCATGGGTAGGAAAAGTCAAACTTTAGTTGGTGAATTGCTGGAGGTTCAATGAGAAAATTCAATAAGAGTTTTTAATTCTCAAACTTGTCCACATTGAGACCCAAGGTTAGGGGGACCCTACACTTTCACTAGTCTTACCTCAAGGAGCCTTACCAGAGTCTCACAGTTAAAACTGAAGAAAAATCCCCTTCTGATTCCTACAGGGTAAGGATAAAAATAGCCATTTTGAAGTATACTCAGAGTATTATGTTCTTCATAACAAGTCCTGCCTTCAAGAGAAAATATTTTACCAGAATAAAACCTACTAAAATTTTTTAAGAGCCTGACTGGCCTGGGAAGAAAGAAATACCTAACACCATAACCCTTTGGCCTTTCTGACCTATAGGGGGAGGAAAAACCTAAGAAGCACTTGGGAAGTTCATAGTCCAGAAGGAGAATTTCACTAAAAGACTTGAGATCTAATCATAGGTACATAGAATGATACACCTCTCCCCACATCTTACCACCACATCACTCAAGGGCTATTTACATACAATTATTTTTACAGAGTACATCATCTCCAGCTTTCAATAAAAAAATATGTCATATTAAAAGGCAAAAATCCCCATAGTTTAGATACAGAGCAAGTATCAGAACCAGACTCAGATATGAAAATTTTAAATAACTATGATTAATATGTTAAGGGGTCTAATGGAAAAAGTAAACATGCAAAAACAGATGAGTAATGTAACCAGAGATTAAAATCTAGGAAAGAATAAAAAAGGAATGCTAGAACAAAAAATACTGTAATAGGAGTGAATAATGCATTTGATGGGCTCAGTAGACTGGACATTAGTGAGGAGTCAGTAAGCTTGAGGATATGGTAATAGAAATTTCCCAACCTGAAAAACAAAGAGAAAAAAATAATGAAAAACAACACAGAACACAATACCTAAGGACTATGGGACAACTATAAAGGATTTAGATATGCATAATGGGAATACAAAAATGAAGCGAAAGACAAAAAGAAACAGGAGAAATATCTGAAGCAATAGTGACTGAAAATTCCCCCAAATTAATGCAAGACACCAAACTCCACCCCAAGAAGTTCAGAGAATACCAAGCCAGATAAATGCCCAAAAATCTACATGTAGGCATATAACATTCAAACTACAGAAAATCAAAGACAGAAAAACGTTTTTGAAAGAATCTTGGCTGGGAGTGGTGGCTTATGCTTGTAATCCCAGCACTTTGGGAGGCCAAAGCAGGTGGATCACCTGAGGTCAGGAGTTCGAGACCAGCCTGACCAATATGGTGAAACCCCATCTCTACTAAAAATACAAAATTAGCTGGGTGTGGTGGCGAATGCCTGTAATCCCAGCTACTTGGGAGGCTGAGGTAGGAGAATTGCTTGAACCCAGGAGGCAGAGGTTGTGATGAGCCAAAATTGTGCCATTGCATTCCAACCTGGGCAACAAGAACGAAACTCTGCCAAAAGAGAGAGAGAGAGAGAGAGAGAGAAGAATCTTTACCCATAGGAGAATAAAGATAGGAATTACATTAGACTTTTTTTCAGAAACTAGGCAAGAAGATAGTGGTATAAAATATTTAAAGTGCTGAGAAAAAAACCCATCAACCTCAGATTCTGAATCCAGTAAAATTATTCTTCATAACTGAAAGAGAAATACATACTTTCTCAGAAAAACAAAAATGGGGGGAATTTGTTGCCAGTAGACCTTCCTTGGAAGAAAAGAAATTCAGAAACAATGAAAATTACATAGGTTAGAAATTTGGATCTAAATAAACAAAGGAAGAACATTCGAGAGGGAGTAAGTGATGTTAAAATAAAAACTTTTTGGCTGGGTGTAGTGGCTCACACCTGTAATCCCAGCACTTTGGGAGGCCAAGGTGGGTGGATCACCTAAGGTCAGGAGGTCTAGACCAGCCTGACCAACATGGAGAAACCCATCTCTACTAAAAATACAAAATTAGCCAGGCATGGTGGCACATGCCTATAATCCCAGCTATTTGGGAGGCTGAGGCAGGAGAATCACTTGTACCTGGGAGGCGGAGGTTGCAGTCAGCTGAGATCACACCATTGCACTCCAGCCTGGGTAACAAGAACAAAACTCTGTATCAAAAAACAACAACAAAAAAAAAACTTTTCTTATTCTTAATTGATCTAACAAAAACTTTGTTCACAATAATAGCAAAAACGTTTACAATATTTATTCTTTACACATAAGTAAAATGAATGACAACAATGATACAAGGGATGGGGGGAGGAATTAAGAATCCTTTTCATAAGATACTTACACTACCCATGAAGTAGTATAGTATTATTTAAATGTAGACTTGCATTAGTTGCAAATGCATATTGTAAACTCTAGGGCAACCATTAAAATTTTTTTTAAAGAAATATAATTGATATGCTAAGAAAGGAGCAAAAATGTAATAATATAAAATGCTCAATTAAAACAAAGGCAGAAAAAGACTGGGAGACAAAAATAGAAACAAAGAACAAGGGTAACAAACTAAAAATTGTGACAAATATTATAAATATTAATCCAGCTATAGTAACAGTCACTTTAATCATTGCAACAGCTAGGTGTAGTAGCAAGTGCCTGTAGTCTCAGCTACTTGGGAGGCTAAGGCAGGAGGATCCCTTGAGTCCAGGAGTTCTGAGCTCTAGTATGCTCAGTGATTAAGTTTCTGTATAAGTTTGCTATCAATATGGTGACCTCCCAGGAGTAGGGAACCACCAGATGGCCTAAGGAGGGATAAACCAACCCAGGTTGGAAATGAAGGAGGTCAAAACTATGCTGATCAGTACTGGGATTACACCTGTAAACAGCCAATGCACTCTAGCTTGGGCAACATAACAAGACCCCATCTCTTAAATAAATAAATACATAAACAAATATCATCACAACAATGAGACTTATTGTAGACAAAGAAAAACAAAACACAACTATATGTTGTCTATAAGAAATCTACTTCAAACATAAAGACAGGCAAATTAAAAGTAAAGGGATAGAGAAATATATGTCATGCTAAAATTAATAAAAAGAAATCTGGAATATCTATATTAATTTCAGAAACAGACAATTTCAAAGCAAGGGTCATTATCAGGAATAATGAGAGGCATTACAGAATGATAAAGGGGTCAATTCTCCAAGAAGAAATAACAGTCTTTATGTGTATGTGCCTAACAACAGAGAGTCAAAATATTTGAGGCAAAAAAATGATGGAACTGCAAGGTGAAATAGATGAATCTGCTATTATAGTTATATACTTTAACATCCCTCTATCAGTAATAGACTGATCCAGCAGGCCAAAAATCAATAAGGACATAGTTGAACCAAGAGCACCATCAAATAGATCTAATTGACATGTATAGACTACTTCATCCAACTACAGCAGGATACATATTCTTCTCAAGCTCACATGGAACATTCATCAAGGCAGACAACATTCTTCAGGAGGCCAAAGTGGACAGATCATCTGAAATCAGGAGTTTGAGACCAGCCTGGCCAATATGGTGAAACCCCATCTCTACTGAAAATACAAAAAATTAGCCAGGTATGGTGGCAAGCGCCTGTAATTCCAGCTACTCAGGAGGCTGAAGGCATGAGAATTGCTTGAACCTAGGAGGCAAAGGTTGCAGTGAGTGAGATCACGCCATTGCACTCCAGCCTGGGTGACAAACCGAGACTCCATCTCAACCAATTAATGTGATTCACTGCATAAATAGAACTAAAGACAAAAACCACACGATTATTTCAATCGATCCAATAGATACAGAACAGAAAAGGCTTTTGGTAAAATTCAGCATCGCTTCATGTTAAAAACTCTGAACAAACTAGGTATTAAAGTAACATACCTCAAAATAAG